ATGCGCGGGACGCCATTATTGAAACTTCATTGTCAAACAACCCTCCCTCCCCCTCTCCCCACCTCGGCTGTTTGACAATGTCTACCTAGTTTTAACTTTTTGCTTTCTGCTACTGCAAATTATTCCAAATTGCATATGCCAAAAATCACCAACATAAAAATCAATGTCTTTGAATACAATGCAATTCACATAATTATCGAACAAGAATTATAGGGTTTAGATTAAAACCGCAAAGATTGAAATGTTAATTTGAAATTCTCTGAGTAATAATTCGCCTTCACTTTATAGGGTTTAAATTCTCTCTTTTTTTAAAAATTAACAATTCTGAATATCATCAAATATATTCTTTATGTGATTAAGATAACAGTAAGATTTGTGGGTAATACAAGTCTGCGAATCATTCTTCTTTAATCCTTAGAATTCCAAGTACCAAACCATGTGGCTTTCCCTATTTTTGGACCACAAATTTCTAACGATTTGAATTTACATTAATCCTTGTTTACTAATTCATACACATATGTATATATATATATATATATTAAAATTATATATAGATATTGTAATAGCTAATTGGGGGAAAAAAAAAATCCAACTTGGTCATCATATTATATAGATCATCAACATTTGTAAAAATGATATAAACAGTAAATAAACTTATAAGTCATTAGGAAATCCGAAAAAAAAATATATATATATATATATATTTTTATCCAGACATAGCCTTTGCAGTAGGGTTCTGAAGATGTCAAAGACACAGGAACAGGAAGTCCTTTTAACTTTCAATCCTAACTTGTCATATAAACATGAAATTCTAAAGCCTACACCTTCCTTCTCATTCTAACGACAAGGATACTACAGTAGCAATTATGTAGAAAGGCTGTAACCAACTCGGGAAATTGATATTTTTTACTTATAGCCTCAAATCAATCTGAGTAAATGATTTCCATGATTCAATAACAAAAACGCTCACATGTTGATTCACAACACTAAATACTTGTTTGCCTGTATACAGTAGTACCTAATGGGTTTTGATTGATGCTATCTTATTCAAACCAGTTATAGACATAGGCATGCGGAGTTGTGTCATGCATCTGAATCTGAGTGTTAAATATGGAATATTACAAGCATCTAAATTAAGAAGAGAAAGATGTTATGAACCTGACTGGCTTTGTTACAACATTGGTGCTCAAAGACTGAGCTGGTCTATGTTTCTGGAGTTTCTTGATATTCCATGGCCTAACCTTCTATCTTCTTGTTCTTCATATGGATTTGCTCTGTATGTTGAACTTGCCTCTTCATTGTCTGAAGAACCTGGTCTCTCAGTTAGGAACTGTTCCCAGAATAGATCATTCACTCGAGCTGGAGCTGCTGGGCGCCCTTGGTTGTTATCTTGGGGTTCCTGGGAGGAAGATATAGGTGTGTTCTCATCAGGTGTATTTTTTTTCTTTGGTAAACCCCTAACATCGGATCCTTTACTGATGACATTAAATATTGATTCTGGAGATTTTCGAATTTCTTGATTTTGTTGAGGCATCCTTGTCGGGCAAGAACTTTTGTTGACTGGCACTGAAGAAGATGCCAAAGTTAGATTTAAATGACAGGAAACATGGCCGTCAACTTCCTCTGTTGAATTCAACCTCTGCTGCAAGGAATACATCCTTGAATTCCCATTCGGTGGTATCTTTCGCGGGAATGTCCCAGTATCTGAAAGCTCCAATCCATCTGGTGCAAAAGAATGAGCGTCAGTTCTTGTCTGCACATCTTTTGGATCTCCTTCAGATATTTTCCTGTTAGGACTTTCCCCATCTTCATTGGAACACTGCGTACTGTGTGAAACCAAGTTAATATCTGAAATGGCTGGTGACAACTCTAATCTCAGCTTATTTGAGAAATCCTGATGGAAAATGTTCCCAAACTCGGCTCTAGAACTACTGCTGTTATCCAAAAGACTACTTTCCATAATTGGCTTTGAATGCTCAAGTTGAGGCAATCGTCTTTTCTTACTATAAGCTGAGAAATCCGTAGACTCAATTTTCCGAGCAAGATGTTCAACAAAAGTGGGGTCCCGCACAGCCTTTTCCAAGGTGGTGATCAGAACCTCTTGCCTCCTCTCCATATTATCGAGTCGTTGAGTCATCTCTTCCAGCTGAAGCTTCTCCGCTGATCGTTGTTGCTTGGACCTTAAGATATTTGCTTCAAGCATATCTTTGTCACGCGAAAGTGTCCCTATTTCTTCATCAAATGCTGCTCTTTCTGGGTCTACTGTTGACCCATGTGGATTACCATGGCTGTGGATAGGTTTCCTACGATGGATATTCTTTAGGAGATGCTTTTGATCTTTCACAAAATCTTCATTAGCAAATTCCCACCTTTCAGGATCGATCTTTCGGAATCCCTGTCACCACATGCCTGTATTTGTTCAGTTCAATAATCCATTGCAAGTTGCAATAAGAACACAAAAAGAACAGATTTCTCATGCAGGGGAAGTCAATATTGTAGAGATTAGAAAAAAAGGAAGAAAACTCAGTTAGTGGAGGCAACTTGGAAGTCAACATTGCATGAAACTTAAGTTGAGTCTGGAAGAGAGTCCTACTGCACAAGTATAAGGATGAAGAATCGTAATTTCTTGCTTAAAAATGACAACGAGGTCCTTTAATCTATAGTTGATGTAGCTGAAATTATAGCAAGCTTATGTAAAATGACAAGCTAGGTTACAGCAAAAGTTCCTCTTTTCATGCAAGAAATGATGAGATGCACGAAAAAACAGAACTGCACAAATTGCAGAAACTATGATGGCAAATATAACCAATGCAAGTGATTAAGGGCACAAGCAGAATAATTCCCAAGGTTCTGAAAGCCTCAATACATACATGGAGTTCAAAAGCAGCTTTTTGATAGTTTAAATTTCAATTAACTGTTTTCTGTAAATTGAGTAGGCAAAACACTTAAAAATCAACTATTTTTACTTTTTTTTTTTCTAGAGTATTATGATGATAACAGAGGAAATTAAGATCTTCGGACATTACACTACTGGTGACTAAACACAAAAAAAGTAAAGCAATTGTTTAGTAAAACTAGAGAAAACAGTTGATGTGTGGTTTTCAGACCTCAGAAGGAAGATAGAGCACATGGATGAGCACAGTGACGGGCATTCAATGAAAGAAAACAAAGAACAAATTGGAAATGAAAGGAACATATCAGGAGCCACTGCATGCCCTCTCAATGAGAAGGTACGAACTTGATTGTTCCATGGTTAGTTTCAAACTCAATTATTACAGAACAAGCTTCAACATGGTGTGCCTGGTTACCAGAATGGATCACACGGTTTAAACAGAGTAAGAAAAGGAGACATTATAACAGCTCCAGAGTTTTAGAAATTTATTGAGACTGTTGGGAAACAAATAACTCTCTTTGTATGATCCTTTTCCAACTCTAAGCTTATTTTGACAATGAACTGCGAAAGGGTATAGATGCAAACAAAATCATAAAGAACCTGTTTGATTCATGTTCATTGACCATCGTTAGCAGATTATCAACTACTACAATTCGTTTGGAAAATAAACTTTTGAAGGAAACCCAGCTCCCATCTTGATGACAAAAACACTCAAAAGGGGAAAAAAGCCATTTCCATACTGCAATTAATGCAATTCCGTTTGAAAATAAGAACCTGAAGGAAACTCCAGTTCCCGTTTTGGCGATGCAAAGGTTTTTAAGGGGGAAAATGGTTATTCATCAATTCAATAGGCGAAATGGGGGAATCACTGGAGAAAAAAACCAATCACCAAAATATTTACAGCATAAAGTCAAAGAGCATGTAATTTCATCGAGATCATATCAACAATCAAGCATAAATCCCAATTCCAAATAAAAATAATGAATAAAAATGGAAAGGAAGGAGAGACTGACATAGGTATTGAGCTGACGGATGAAGGAAGAGAAGTTGTTGTGCTTGAAGTAGGTTGGGAGGAGGAGACGAGCGAACTCTGGAGGGTTCCAGACGACGAAGCTGTGGTTGTTGGAGCTCCAAGACACGATTCCGTCCGTCGCTGAGTCATCAACCATCTCGTACGTCTTCAATAAGAACGGCGCTGGTCCTCCTCCACCTGCTCCGCCGACGCCGCCGACGCTGCCGCCACTGGAAGTCACCGCGGCTACCTCCATTTTCTCCTTACCGAGCCGCGGAGTTGGATAAAAATTAAACGGTGGCGTTTCAATTAGGGGTATTTGGAGGAATCGTTCAACTTCTCCGCTCAACTACGGAACTTTCTTCGAGGCCTCGAGACGGGGGAAGGCGCGGAATTCCGACAGGATTCGTTCCGACCGTGTGGTTTGTCAGGCTCTGCTCCGCTTACGGAAGCAGTCATCTTGAATTTGTAACAAAAACAGAAAATGCATAAAAAATAAATAAAAAGAAAAATAAAAGAAAGAAAAGTAAAAAAAAAAAGTCTAATCTGTTGTCTCGCATATTTCTTTCGTCACGTTTTTTTCTCTTCAAATGGGATTTTATTTCGTCCGAATTATTAAATTAGTTATTTAAATTAAACATATATTGTAATTTTATTTTTAATTTTTTGTTATAATTTAGTTTAACATTTTACATATACTCTAAAAAAAATAATTTATTTTAATTTTAAATATTAAACCATAAAAAATTAAAGATTATACAAAAGTATTAATGGACCAAATTTATTTTTCTAGTAGGTCGTAATTTTTTTTTGTAATTATATTAAAAAAAAAGAGAGTGTTTAATTTGACGGAAGAAATTAAGATAATTATATATATATAGCTATGTATAAATCTACTCATATCAATTCACACCATAGAGAACATTAACACCATGTAGGGCCATTTTTGGTTTATGTTTATTTTACATGTATTGACTATGTGTCAATTACTATTTAATTTAGTGTTCCCTACATTTATTAATGTAGCATAGATTTTGGGTTTGAATAATATTATATTTTTATGTACATATTTGTTTAAATATTATTTTTATTATGTTATAATTGATATATACATATATATATATATATAACACACAATCAATTAACATATAGATTTACTATTAAAAAAAATACTATACACCCACAATGTAATTATAGCTAAAACAGTGGATGTGTAACTTGCTATTCGTTAATTTTACCAAAACGTTCCCGTTTCACTCCACCTCTGTTTCTCCTCTGTGTTTTTTTTTTTTTTATACCAAATCGTGTAAAAGAAGTCTGCTAGTTCTTCCTCTGCCTCTGTTCTGGTTAACCAATGGAATCCCGGAACCATCATTACTCAAAATTTTTAAGTCTTTAAAGATTTGATATATCAATAATCCTGTTCTGGTCCTCCCTTGTCTTTAATCTGTTTTGCCAAACGGAAGCTGAATGATCTCCCTGAACGTCCTCTGTCTATCCCCTGTTTTTGTCAAAGCAACCCGGTTGGAGTCCGATTCTAGTTTCTCGCTAGCTCCTACCACTCTCCTCTCCTGCTCTCGATATTCTCTTGAGAATTCTAGTAATTGCTATATCAAATGCATCTTCAAAGGACCCTAATTTAGACCCGGGATTTGCATATAATACCCTCGGAATCAGCTTAATAACCGCTTCTCTTAAAGCTACAACTCTGTCCTCTGTAATCTCAAGCAACTTCTGTTCAATGCTGAATTTTCTGTCTCTTAATTGATTTCCCGGCATGTACACAGAATACTCTGAATGATTCTTGGGCAAATGCCAGAAATACTGCTCATAAGCACTACCCGGATGGAAGAAAACCGGAATACACCCTCCTAAAATTGAATCAAAAATCGATCTCCGAGTGTAAGAATCCCCCGGAGGCTGCAAACAGAAAATCGAACTCGTAAACAATTTCATTACATTAACTGGGTCGTCACAGCTCTGTGAGGCAGAGTCTCCTCCACAACCCAAAAGCCGGCATGTCTTGTTTGATGATTTACATTGGCTGATGACTAAATCTCTTACAGAACCTTTTCGTCGTGATCTTGGAGCGCCGGCGAAAGAGAAGAGAAATTCTCTTTTGGTTTCTCTCATTCTCCTCTGCCACTGCAAAATTTCTCTGTTTTCAGAGGGGTGAAAGTATGTTGGATATGGAATGGCGATTTCATTGGAGGTGAAGCTTGATTCAATCGACATAATTGACATGTTTTGAGATTCCGGCAAGAGCATAAACTTGCTTCCCCAATCGGAGTTATTCTCTGTCTTTCTCCTGAAATCGCGGGAAATTCTCCCGGCAACCATGAAATGGTCTTTCCCCCAGTTTCTTCTCCACTCTGGCCTTTCCACAAGCCACTTCGCCAGGTCAATCCCGGAGGAGTCTCTAACCGATGTGGTGAACCGCCATAGATGGCGGCGGAGATCCAGACCTGCATAGAATGGTATGAAAATGGCGGATGCAAGTGACGAATCGTTTGTCAAACACTTGTATTTCTTCATTTTCGCATGGAAGATGACCTCGAGGAGAAACTGGTTTGTAGAATACCAACTCTTATTTGATAAAACTCCATTAGAATTTTCAATCTCCGGACCAAAACCATAGTTTTTGATGTTGTCGCACATGCTGGATTTATCAGTTGGTCTGTTAAGCGACTCACAGTTCTTAACCACATCTTCGTTGAATCTCCCAGGAAGATGATGGATGTAAATGTATCGACCCAGGCAGGGGTTTTTATCGTACTCTGGTGTCAGTTCTTCTTGTGTGCTTGAAGCTCTGTTACTGGTAACCGAACTAGTAACGTTCAGTCGATGGTTGTTGAGTGAGAATCTGAAGCTAAACCTGGTAGAATTCAAGAAGAAGAAGACGAGGAAGCTGGAGAGAAGAAGAAGAAGAAGAAGCCATGGCTTACTGTTTTGTTTTCTTCTTGATGGGTTTCTCCATTTGATCCTTGTGGACTTCCCCGTATGATTATACTGTCTGATAGTTGCTTCAACTTTCATGGCACCGAAAGCTTTCTCTGCAAACAGAGGATGCAACAATGGCTAAAGAGAAGATAGGAGACAAGGAATTGGTCAAATTTCATATTTTTTTCTTTAATCAATAATTTTTAATACATAAATTCATAAAATAATATTTAATGTTTGCTGTAGAAAATTTATAAGCTTTAATTAAGTGTAGATTAAGGTGGGAAGAAATCAAGACAGCGAGTTTGAATGGCAACTACGAAGTTGACTAGAGAAAGAGATGATTGAATATGTCAAGAAGAAAATGAGACGCAGATTCCTTGTCACGCAAAACAAGTTAAGCAAGGAAGCAGCCGGCTTATAATTTTATTTTATAATTTAAATTTTAAATTAATAAAAATATTCAAATTAAATATATAAATTATTGGAATATTTTTTATAATTTAAATTGTTTTTTTATTGTAAAAAGAAATAAGACTAATTTCTAACGACTATCAGTATCAAGTAGAAAATATTTTTATTATTAAATTAAATTATATTATATATTATGTTGTATAATAATATTTTATCATATAACCATTAAACAATTTCAACGTGGAGAATCGTGGGAATAGAACTAATGATACCGTGTTTTTGGGATAGGCTTCGATTATTCGTAATTTAGTCTATAATTTTTTTTTTATTTTTAAATATTCAAACAAAATTAATACTTTTTGACATAAAAAATAAATTATTAAATTAATTTTCAAAACGTAATACTTATTACAGTTTAATTGTTAATATTTTTTTATTATAATTTAATTTTAATAAATATGTTAAATTTTATTAGACAATATTTTGACATTTTAAACATATATTTTAATAAAATAAATTTATTTAAATAATTAAATTAATAAATCATTAAACATGTCAGACACACATTTTAATTTCATTACTTAAATTTATTAGTCAAACTTTTTTTTTAATAATTTTTTTAAAACATTATAACTTAATAATTTTAAAATATTGTTATCATTAAACAATCGAAGATGGCATAATTATATTTTAATTGAAATTATTTAAACATTTTATATTTTCTTAGAAAAAAATTATATATTGTTAGTTAATTATATATTAAAAAATCCTTTGTATATTTTTGTTAAAAGTAGAGCGAAAACCATGAGGTTCTACTTTTGGTGGGTCAACTAATGAGATCATCTCATGGAAAACATGAAAAACTCCCGAGGAAATAAAAACGTAATGTGGGTGTGGTCACAATACTTTAAACCCAGTAAAGTCATATATATATATACACACACATATATATATCTGTTATTGAATTACCGTAAGAAATATTTGATTAATTGTTAATATTTAATAATGTCATATAATTTACGTACATTTTTTCATACATTAAGGTTTTTATTCTCAATATAATATTTCTAAAAGTAAGACTCTTAATTTGAATATAATTAAAAATGATTCCGACGTTTTTAATTCTTTTATTTCCCGGATTAAACTTAAACCATTCAGCACCCACTTTCGTTTTCTGCTTGCTACTTGTTGACGTGTACAGTAAAGAGTTAGACGCCGTTCGGATTTTGTCGGTGATAAAAACCCCGAACCAGCGACGAAATTCACGGCGGTAACACGAGAAAATTAAAACCATTCATGTTGCAGGTGTCACCCACGTGTTTCCGTCTCAGTATACACTGTAAAATTACTCAAAAGCTTGCTGCTTTTAATGGTGGGGTGATTCTTTAATTCACTGCAAAGCGAATAATTAAAGTTCTCCGTACTTGGGAATGGGGAAAAGAATTAATAGGAATTTACCGAATGATATGAGGATTTAATGGAGGAAAATCAACCTTTTTTTCTATGTTCAGCTTCATCTTTGTATGCTCCGTAATGATTTTTCGATCAAACCACTGTAATTAAGTTACGAGCTTTTTAGATGTTTGATCTCCATAGCTCCTGAAGCGTCGGTTATTGAGAAGGACGAGGAGGAAGACGACCCAGTGCATTTACTTTTTTGTCTCTACCCAACAAAAGTAACGGACGTTTGCTCCCTCCGTTAACTTTCTGCGCTAATCCATACACTCAATCGAGTTTCAGTCCCTGAAATTCGGGAACTGCTTCTTCTTCTTCTTCCTCTCCATCTATAATCATTAGGCGCTTCTCCTGCGATTCCAAGACAAAACCCAGGTCTCTCTCCGTGCCCTTTCGTCTAGTTCATGGAGAGACGAGAGTAATTACATAGAGGCAGGTTCTTCTTCTTTCTTCTTATATGTGGCTCTAAGACTGTTTTCAGAAGCGAAAATTACTCGCACAGGAGCTCGTCGAGGTCTGATGGAGAAACCCATCGGTGGAAAATGCTGCAACAGTCATGTCTGGTCTGTTGTTCTTGTCTCTTTTGTCCTCTGTTTAATCTTGCTCTGCTTTGATTACTCAGCTTTAACTGGTGATAACAATGGAGTCCCGTTCTCAGATACCAGTTATGAAAAATCCCTCAATACCCAGAATTCTTTTACTCATAATCTCACTAAAAATTCCTCTATTCACACCATCTCCGAGTTACCAAAAAACCAAAATAACGTGGATGACTGCTTCGGTAGATATATCTACATTCATGACCTCCCCAGCCGTTTCAATGGCGATTTGCTCAATAACTGCAGGTTACTCACCAGAGGAACTGATAAGAACATGTGTCCATACTTGGTCAACACCGGTCTAGGTCCTAAAATCGAAGACACCCAGATGGTATTATTGAACGATAGTTGGTTTTTAACAAATCAGTTTCTGTTAGAAGTAATTTTTCACAAGAAGATGAAAAATTACGAGTGCCTGACGAAAAATTCTTCACTCGCGTCCGCCATTTTTGTACCGTTTTATGCTGGGCTCGACATGAGCAGATTCCTTTGGGGTTTCAACATTTCAGTGCGAGATTCCTCCGCGCGAGATCTCGTCGGCTGGCTTGCAAAGCGGCCGGAGTGGAAAACAATGTGGGGAAGAGACCATTTCTTGATAGGAGGAAGAATAGCTTGGGATTTCAGAAGACAAACAGATAATGAATCTGATTGGGGAAGCAAGCTCAGATTCTTGCCTGAATCACTAAACATGTCGATGTTATCAATTGAATCTAGTTCTTGGAATAACGACTATGCAATTCCATATCCAACCTGCTTCCATCCTTCCAAAGATTCGGAAATTTCAGAGTGGCAGCAGCGAATGAGAACCTTTTCCCGGCGGTTTCTCTTCTCTTTCGCCGGCGCTCCGAGGCCGGAGTACCGGGATTCCATCCGAGGAAGAATCATAGACCAGTGCCTCGCGGCTAAAAATCACTGCAAGCTTCTCGATTGCAACTACGGCGCCACAAACTGCGACAACCCAGTTAATGTAATGAAGGTTTTTCAAAGCTCTGTTTTCTGCTTACAGCCTCCCGGAGATTCCTACACCAGAAGGTCCATTTTTGACTCGATTCTCGCCGGATGCATCCCTGTTTTCTTCCATCCCGGCACGGCTTACGCTCAATACAAATGGCATTTGCCCAAGAATCATACGAAATACTCGGTTTACATCCCGGTAAGGAGCATAAACGATTGGAAAATCGACATTACTGAGACCTTGCTTGGAATTTCGGAGGAGAGATTGGTGGGTCTGAGAGAGGAGGTTATAAAGCTTATTCCGGGAATAGTTTACGCCAGGTCGAGATTGGAAAAGTTTGAAGATGCATTTGATTTGGCGGTGAAGGGAATATTAGAGAGAATTGAGATGGTTAGAGGAGTAATCAGAGAGGGAAAGGATCCAAGTGTTGGTTTTGCTGATGGAGATGATTATAAGTATACATTTTCTCTTTATGAAGAAGATGAAGTATGAAATTAGGGTTGTATCAGTTGATAAACATATCAGTATACATACAGTATTATATCTATCTTCTTTTGCAGACCTGCCAATACTCTTTATCACCCAGTTTTCCGTTCTGTGAGATTGAATGATATATTCTGGCATCGTCGATTACATGTGCAAAGTATGGAAAGAAGCCTCTCTTTATTTGATATTTTGAGTTTAGAAATTATTTTTTCACTTTATTTTGTAAATTTTCCGAATTTTAAAATAGAATTAATCCAGATTAATTTAAATAATTATAATAAGTAAATTAATACTTGAAATTTGAAGTCTGTTATAATTTAGGTCTTTACATTTCTTTAAGTGAAAAAAATTAAAATAGTTATAATATAGTTTGTTATTAATTAATTAAAATTAAAATTATTCTTTAAAATACATATAATTATTTTAATTTTTTTATTAAGAACTACAAGAAAAGTAGACATTTAAAATAAATAAAAAAATATCAAAACCAGATTATAAAAATTAAATTGTAATAAATATTAAACTTTTCATTATTACTTTTATAATTTATTAAATAATTATAATTACTAAATAATTAAAAAGGGCTTAGTTGTGAGCATATATAAATATGGTGCATTGATTACGCGGCCCAACCCAAAAGTATCTTCAGTTGCTAGACTCGCCGTTTTCACTTCAACATCCCGAAGACCTGTGCATGCGCCTGCAAAATCCAAGAGAAGCTTGGAGATGGCAACCAACTCAAGCTTTCAACTGTTCTCCTCATCAGACGAAAAGGGCGCTCCAGGGTTAGGGTTAGCGTTTCTTGATTCCTTTGAGCCCGCGTTACCTCCTCCTCCTCCTCCCGTCGAAGTCTTTTCCTCCGAGGTACTGTTGCGGCCATATGTACGCAGATAGGTTGATGCTATAGAACTTTTTGATTCATTTAAACTAATTAATGTGTTGATTAGCTAATTCAGAAGTTAATTTTTTTTTGAATTATAATGAAGCAGATGCCATATTCTGTGAAATTTACCGTGGAGCAAGTGAATGTAGGGGAACTCACTTTGTTCAAAGTAAGTCATTTCTGTCTCTTTCTGTGTTTGATTCTAGGGAAATTTTAGTTAAAATGTAGTGGAAACAGGAAGAATGTAGAGTAGGTTTTAATTTAGACTCAGTTACTGGGAAGTATAAAGGAGTCAGTTCATAATTTGCTCCTGCCATGCTTCTTAAGAAATCAAAATTGACGTTATGGTGAAGCTCGTTGACACCTGAGATATATTATCACAGTTTATTTTATCTGAAATTTAGATTTTAAATCACGACAGCATTTGAAATTAGTATGATAGAAGTGAATTTGATTTTTATTTGTTCTTTTTCTCTAGGGCCGTGTTAGTACTAAGGAGGTTTTGGGATTATCTAACTCCGATTTGGTCCCTGGTGTATACGAAGGTATGTATCAACCTTACTTGTATTTTTGCACTTAATGCTCACTACTGAGTCTGTCTTCTTTGAAGTTCAGTTCTCCTAGTTATTATTGCATTATGCTTGTTTTTGTGGCACTATTCTGCATAACTATGATTTCATGTTATTGCGTCCGGTTTAGGGGGATTGAAGCTATGGGAAGGTTCACTAGATCTTATCAAGTCTCTTCACTCTGAGATTCAAAATGGGAATTTATCATTTAAAGGAAAACGAGTTTTAGAGGTGGGCTCTTAATTTTCAGGTACTTCTATCTTTCTGCAAGATGTTTCATCGTCTTGATATTCCATACAGTGGTCTTTGTTTCAAGTTCTTTAATGGCTTGACACACTAACTTGGTTTGTTACATTTGTCATATTAATAATTGCAAGCATTATAGTGTTCTTTTCACATGCGTGTTGCCTTGCTGTTAAGGAGTTCTGTTTATGGTGGTTTTGATTGTCCGTTGCTTGTGTTTAATCGGAGATATAAATGCAATACCAACAATTAGTTTGTTTTTTCATTTCAAATAAAAAAAAACGATTAGTTTGTTTTAAAATCTACTAAAGCTACATGTCTTTGCATGTTGGTACGTGATTTCTTGGAAGAAACTGATGAGAAACATAAGAAGTTGGTATGTTTGTAAGTAATATTAAGAGGCACTATAGACATTGGAAAAGAGGATTTAAGATTCAGGCAGAGAAACAGTTCCTGTTTATAACTTAGAGAAGGAAATTTTATGAAAGAGAAAAAGTAGTATATATTGACAATAATCATTGTGGATGATATTACCTAGGGCAGCAAACATTTAAAGGCTTGTCTCTTAATGCTGATTTTCAGTTATGTACTTAAAGAGTAAAATTTTGACGGTTGAAAATGCTAGTGAATTTCTAGAATGCTTATATGATCCTTTCAGAAGTAACTTTTTTCCTTTTTTCAAAAGGTAGTTTCTCCACCCAAACAGTAGGTTGATTCTCTAGAAATCAATTGGCAAAGAAGGAAACATTAGCTCTCCTGTATGCCACTGGCATGCATTTTTCTTGTTGGGGAAAATTAGGAGACTAAGGCCACGCAAAACTCAATCCAACACATAAACTGCAGGGACAACAAAAGAGTTACTAGGTGTACATAGTCTTTACAGTTTCAGTAAATCCTAGCTTGGAATCTCAAAGCTAAGCGTCATGATCTCCGCAGTTGATTTGTTAAACTTAGGTTGCTTAGTGAAGTTACTATTTATCAAATAATGAATATTCAAAACCATGATCAGTAGTTTATGACTTTTTGCTTGGTGAACAAAAGAAAATCAGTAATCTAAAGCCTAAGTGAAGGTTTTAACGACTTAATTTCAAAATATACAAACCCAACTATTAATCATTTCTAAGCATCTCCTTCATTCCATAACTTGATGAGTTTTCTTAATTTGTTTCAGCTGGGATGTGGTCATGGTCTTCCTGGGATTTTTGCATGCCTTAAGGTGAATCCCCGAATCTTTTCATTATCATATGTCCATAATGGCACCCAAGACTGAATATGGAGCTATCCGGGCTTGTTAAGCTTCTTATTTCATTGCAACAGGGTGCATCTGTCATTCATTTCCAGGACTTCAATGCCGAGGTCCTGCAATGTCTTACCATACCCAATGTAAAGGCTAATGTTCTGGAGAAGTCTCATCGTATGGGAATGGGTGAAACAAATTCTGATGCCGAAGCAGAAGTACGTTTCTTTGCTGGTGATTGGGGTGAAGTTGATCAACTTCTTCCCCAAGGACATGACAAAGAAAAGGAGCTAACCTGTAGCTCTGAGTGTGATGCAATTGATGGTTATGATGTTGTTCTAATGGCAGAGACTATTTATTCCATCTCTTCTCAGCGGAGTCTTTATGGACTTATTAAGAAGGTGCAGCTTCATTGAACTGTTTTCATTATTGTCACTTTTTTTTTTCTTCTTTCAGCAAAATTGTAGTATCTTCAGCTCTAAGAGGGCTTACTTTGCAGTGCATTAGGAACCCTCATGGCATTGTATACATGGCAGCAAAGAAGCATTATTTTGGAGTGGGCGGGGGAACACGGCAATTTTTATCTATGGTAGAGAAAGATGGTAAGTTAATCCTTCTGAGATGTGTTGTAGCAAGCGTGGAGAGGCAAATATTGTAGTCATAGTTGTCTGATTTACGAATTATATGCATAGATACTTCAGACTTGTATTTTACCTGTAAAACTTTGTATGCAACTGTGCATGATATGAAACTTTTAAGGTCAATTGAATTGAAATATATATATAGTTACTTCATGCTATTTCATATTATTACTCAATATGCATGAATTAATTCTGATGGTGCCAGATATGGTCATGGGATTGGATCTTGGTAAATGACCCTTTTGCTTATTTATTTATTCTACTCTGCTGTTTTCCCCTTGCAGGCGTTCTGACTTCAAAGCTGGTTTGTGAAGTTACAGATGGTTCTTCTAACCTCAGAGAGGTATGGAAGCTTTCATGCAAGTAGATGACAATCTAGATCTATTACGGTGAACATGATCAATGTGTAATCTAAAGATGGAATCTTTCCACCAAGTCAGAGATCATATTTGACATGCTATTTTGTCTAAGAACGTGGCACTGGATATTTGCTGCTTGAACATTTTGTTCTTGACCAACTTCCTTAATTTTAATCTCTGTTCTGCACAGTTATTTGCATTTTCTATTATACTCAATTGATTCATCAGAAACCAAAAGCAAGCTTTTGTAGAAGCATATAATGCCTTGGTAAGTTTTATGTTTGACAATTTAGAATCATCATATTCATTTTCTTCCGAAAATGGGACAGTAGATTCACTGAAAGAAACCAAGAAGAGTAGTTTACAAGTTCAAACGACATGAACATCATCAAGCCTTTTACTTAGACAAACGAACATGTATGTATATATATATATTTGAAGCTGATAACAGTTTCTGTGAGACAGAAAAAAAAAATAAAAAAGAGAGAAGAAATAAGATCAAGAATCAGGCCGACAACGATAGTACTTGAAGCAACCTCGGTTATGAGCATTAGATGGGGGTGGGAGACAGCCTCCAGATTTGCTATAAGCCTCTCCGGTCTCGCCTTCATTGCAAACTGGTTGATCTCTCTTCAACGTCCCAGGCGATATGTACTTCTTCTGCTCAAGAAATCTCCGGCTAATCTCTGATTCCATCAACATCTCATCTTCTTCATAGCACTCTGCTATTGATCCATTGCACGATTCGCTCATTCCAGACGACGGAGCAGGCAGATGGAGTAGTGGGCTAACAAATAAAAGAAAGCAGTAGTAGCACCCAATGATTTTCATTTTTACTAATTTCTTTCTTTCAGACTACCACTTTGAAACACTTTATAGAGGAGAAGAAGAAGAAGAAAGCATCCCACAAATTCTTTTAATTTATTTCTTCATTTTACTTAAAAAAGTTAAATCTTAGTGGAAACCGCACAAGAGGACCACCAGAGAAGCCGCACTTCACCAACCCCATGATTCTCATCCTGTTTCTTCTTTGGTTTTTTTTTTTTTTTAATGAGTTATTTATTCACACACTCAACTGTCACAACTGATTTTAATTTTGAGCATTATTTCCAAGAATTGGGTTGTTAAAAAAACGTTCTTTCTTTAACAATTTGATCCCAATTCTTGGAAATAATGCTCAAAATCAAAATTATTTAATCCTGGGTTCAATTTTTCTGAGTGAAATTTTAATATGGTACTGAAGAATTATTAATTCCTCCCCCCCAACCCTAAAAACAAGAATAAATGCGTTGAATATTTCTGGTTAGATAGAAAATGTCATTTAGGAAGGGCTTCCATTTTTCTTGGGGAGCGTTGCAATTAATGTGTAAAGGGTAATTGATATGCCAAGTTATTGCGTTGGGCCTAAAATGACAGTGACAGCTTCCATCATCTTATAACTGGACCATACACTTTATACTTAAAAAAATCCAAATGGGATAAATTATTACATCTTGCCCTAAAAAATTCAACCATAGAACTGAATTTAAGATTTCATAATTTTTCTCAAAATTATACATGTTCCTAATAATTGGCTGCACCAATATATATATATATATATATATTTGTATTTGCAGCTCCACCGACAGGGTTATATAGATGTAGGATCATGGGTAGCTGTATGGTTCAAGACTTCTGGTGTTCAATTACGTTTTTAGTAATTTGAGCAGCGTTTAAAAAACTAATATGCTTTTATATTCTTTTGAAAAAAAGGTAAATCTCACTATACAATATTTATTTTACTTTAAAATAATATTTGTGAAAATAAATATAATATTTAAATAACAATGATATAATGATCGATGTTTCTGTATTTTATTTAAATATTACGAATTTAAATTTTAAATTTATTATTTTATGAATTTATTTTTCTGATGTACTGATAAAATTGTAATAAACAATTTGTGGGGCAAACTTTTTTGTTTGTTTGAAACATGTTACCCACTACTAATGATGATTACCGTGGCCACTAACAATAATTCAGTCTTTTTAATTTTTGATTTTGTGTTTACTAATTAAGAAGTTTATTTACAAAATTTTAATTAAAATTTCAGATTATTTCGTACAATTTTCAAATGCTTGAAAAATTGTTGGTACATTAATAATACAGGCAAGATTGTGATGGGTCACGGCAGACAAATTTGTGAAATTTCTCAGTCTTGAGTATAAAAATAATTACCAAATTAATTGATTTAATTAGTACCACTTAATTATTTTAAAATTTCATCCCTTACCCAGAAGCAATATTGGCTGAAAAATCATTTATTTGTATCAATACATAAATTTTCGGAATCAAATGTAAATGTATACAATTAATGATATATAAATATTAATCTGTAATTCATATTATTTTTAAGAATGAAATTAATAATAATTCATATTGTCTTTACAAAATTAAATTTGTAAAAATCTTGGGACGAGAAAAACATTATCTCTCTCACACCATAAATTCTAAACTTTCAACTTTTAAATGAAATTAGAATTTATTTATTTTGGAATGAACATTCTAATCAACAGACACTAAATATATATATATATATATATAATAAATCCATAGATTATTCTCATGAATCAAATAAAATATAATAATAACACATTGCATCAATATATGTTTTTCTTAAAATTCTCAAATTTACTTTTTTTTTTTAAAAAAATAAATTTTAATATCTGAAGTTTCTCAATTACTTTTCTGGAAATAAAAGAACTTCAATAAGGCCTGCACCTGTAAATCTTGAAGCACCCTCTGGTTCTGGGGTTTGATGGAGCAGGCAAGCAACTCGAGTACGGTCTCCCACTTTCAGGACCTCCACAGAAGGGCGAATCGCGCAGCAGAGCTCCTGAGCTCAAGAATTTCGTCGCTGTGAGTATCCTTCTACTCGTCTCGGACTCCATTAACGACTCCCGATCGTCATCGGCTTCCACATTTCCCGCCACTGAAACATCACATGATTCTCTCCTCTGATCCGCAGCGGAAACTCCGTGGCCAGTACTGAATTGTTGGAGTAGCAGCAGCATTGTGAGTAGCTGCGGAAGGAGAAGAAGACAGAGTGAAGATCTTCTCTTCCACTGGGTTGCCATTTAGGGAAAGTAAGGAGGTTTAGTTAGTTTCTGAGAAGTCGGTTTTGGTTTACTCACTGAGTTGAAGCGCTCTAATCATTATTGTGCTGAACGTGAATGTGCAGGAAAAAAAGGTCTTTTGCTTTCTGCTTCACCCGTGGTATGTATGGAGTTTCTTTGCAGCCATGGTGGGGTGGGCCGCCTTCAACACGTGCCATTGTAACGGTGCATAATCTAATTATTAAATTTTAGTGTTTCATATGTGGGCTTTAATAGCTGAATCAAGGGGGCAGGGTCTGATGCCCAGCCCACAATTAGTCAAATACAACTCCTCATTACTAACGTGGATTCTGTTTCCCAGAAACTTCGTAAATTAGAATTTTCTAACTATATTTGTACTTGTTAAAAGTCAACACTTGCGTTGTGGATCGGTATGTAATCCTATTAGCGTTTGCCCCCCTGCGTAAATCTTTCTTCATCAAATCCCAACTCCACGAGAATGCCGAGGAAGTTGACATTCCAAATTACAAATCTGTCATTTCTTTTAGCGACGGTTTTCTTAGCCAATTCATTGGTCTTGATGTGCGAAACCTTCCTCCCTTACCAAGCAAACATTATAGTATCACTCATAACATTAACTTGCTGCTGCAATATCCTGTCTTATGTCCTGAAGATGAACGAATCTTTCCGAAATCTCCATTGGAAATACTTTTGCATGGTGGCCGCGCATTTAACAACACTCGCAGACACCAGCAACTGGGAATCCTTGGGCGGTAAGTTTTTCTTGATTGGACTTTCAGTCCTCTTGTTGAGCATGTGGTATTATCGAAATTGGGTTCGGCCACGGGAAGAAGAGAAGGTGGTTGTAATGGAGAATGCTGTGCCTTTGCTTGTCGAAATTCCATTTGCTATTACGGGTAATGGAGTTGCAATGATGGTAAGGCGTTTCCTTCCCAATGAGGATCTTCAATGGAAGCTGGTTGGAGGTGGCATCATGTTCTTGGTTAGTACCATTCTCTTCTGCCACCTTCTCTCTGTGTCTGCCAAAACTGGGATCTTCCGCAGGAAAAAAACTTCAAACTAAAACCAATTTTTCTTAAAGGATTTGTCATTCCCTATTGTGTTTTTGATATTGTCGGTATCAATGAAACTCATCGCTGTTTAATTTTACTTTCATCTTAAAAGTAAATATGAAAATGATAATTGCCGACTTCTACACACAAATTCCACAAGGAAAAGAGCTATCACATTAATCTTTATCAAGTTTATCATCAAAGCTTCCTGCCATAACAGTAACATAATTACAGAAAAACTTTTCATATTATTCCTCTCCCGCCCAAGCAATTTTTATTGTTTTTTTTTTTTTTTTTTTTTAAATTTCATGAACATCAGTCAGTTATTCAGTCCTAAAGTTGATAGCTCAAACCCATCTCCACTGGCATGAAAGATTGAAATATGTGACCTTTAAATCCATATATCCGAAGTGCAGTCACCACCAGGATATCTCATTTCATGAGCTAGGGAAGGGCCGTCAGGTTCAGCTCCAAAATCCACAAAAAAGCTAGGGTTTATGGAGAGACCACCTTTCTCAGTGTGCACATCAATCTGCAGCATGTGGGATCCTTTTTCCATGAGGCCAGGATAAAATTGTCGATCCCATTCACTGAAAAGTGAGTTGGTGACGTACAACCGCTTCCCATCTAAACTCAACTGGATCATCTGAGGTCCCCCTCTCAATTCATGTCCCTTCAAGAATAGCAATTAAGTACCTTTTGAGTTTCATATCACTTTGACTAAAGTATCAAGTGTAGTTGAAAATGTAGCAATATTGTATACGGGAATTCACAGAGGACAAATGCACAGCAGAAAGTTCTAGTTTTATGATTGAAAAAAGAAAAGGAGACGGTACATACCTGAACATCGGGAACCTCACACTGCCATGTCTTTCCATCTTCACCCACAGCCACAACAGGGCTTCCCTTCTTAATCAATCCCCCAACCCATACTTGGCCAGTCAATACAGGATTTTTTGGATCCTCAATATTATATTGCCGAACATCTCCATGAAGCCAATTCGAAAAGTAAAGAAAACGGTCATCTAGAGAAATCAGAAAGTCAGTTATAAGCCCAGGCATCTCGGGAAGGATCCAATTTTGCACCTTCAAGGGTTTGACTGAAATTGCCACCTGCAGTGTTCAAGGAGATTACAAAAAATGTTCTGGACTGTGGCAGTTTAAGTAAAGACAAGAAAGAACGGATGTCAAGGTTACATTAACTGTAAAAGGAAAAAGAAAATTCACTTCTTACCTCGTGGCTCCATGATCCATCCTCCGTTTGGAAAAACCTCACCATGTTACTCGTTAAGGCACACCCAACAAACCCTGTATCTTTAGAGGGATCATGCAAGAACCTAATCTGCATATGAGGAAGCATATTAATCAACCAATTCCTACTATATCTCCATAAGGATTAGAGTTGCAAAAAAACGTATAACAATAACAATTTATGGAGCTGCGTAATTGTGGACTGCTAGTGAAGTAAACTAATAAAATTATTTGTCAGGAACAAGAACATGAAATTACATCCTGCTTACATACTTATACTAGGAATCAAGAAGGGTTATGGGAAGAGATGGCATCCATTCCTACATTATGGTCAATAGGCTCACGACTGTCTTTGGACCAGATAAGAAAGAGAGGTATATTGATTATATTTATCAAAATCACCTCCAAGGGTATGAGGCCAGTGCTTCCAAGATCCATTGTTTGTTTCTTTTCACCATCCGGCCAGCTATACACATACAGATGCCTCCCGTACAAACCATCTGAAACATGCTGAGGGTTGAAACCTTTTGTAAATGCCGCAGGTGCTCCCCATGATGAGCTGATCATTGTTTTATGTCGTGGTTGGTACCAGAAATCATATCCAAAGAGAGGACTATGTCCGGGCTTCTCCCACCTGAAAAAGGAAATAGTGAAAATTAAGAGGACTAAAAGGTTTCGTTAGGCTATAGTTTCAATTTTACACGATTCATTTAGTTGTTATAACTGCACAAAGAATTGATAGATTTTTTTTCTTTCAGATTGCTTATGAAAAGTTTTAAATGTCTGAAAATGAACACATCCATGATGACAACAAGCCTTGTTAACCATAATGAACTAGCCGTCCATGGCTAAATATTCTGTTAATGGAAAAAGCTCGGTAGCTACCTTCCTTTGATGTTGAATTCTGAGTCAAGGAGAAGAAATCCATTTCCCTCAGCATTTCCGTCCTCATCTCCAAGGCAAGACACCAGTATATCACCAGAAGCAAGGCAATGGGAAGTGTGTGGATAAGCTAATCCTGTCTTCTGAACAATTTCTGCTGGTTCTACAACCTTATGCAGCGCAGGTGCCTTTGGATTTGTTTTTGTATCAATCACATAAATGCGGCCAGATCTGCTAGACGTAATGGAATTAAAAATCCGAACAAGGAGATTGACATCTTCACATTCAAGGAAGAGTATAAGAAGCTTTTTGAAGAATCATGTTGAACCAGAGCTACTCTACATTATTTGCCGTATTTTAAAGCAATTTTTAATTTTCAAAGAAACTTCCAATATAAAAATTTTCAGGATCTTATAAAAACGAATCTGATAGTACACTTTTTCTTGAAATCTGAAGCACAATGAAGAATGCTATCTACTAGTACACTGGAAATCATTGAAAAACAGACTGATTCACCTCAAAGATGGCATCTCAGCTGTGAAGCATTCTACAAATACATGTAAGTGCAATCAAATAAGTAGTGTAGACACACAGCTAAAGAAGAAAGTCAGTTGGAAATCAAACTAGTAGGTGTGTATTAAAGGATGCATGTCAAATTCGTTCATCAGCTGCCATATTGAGAGTGAAACGACTAAGATGAAACCAGAAATATACTTTTTTAGCTTAGAAAAAAAAAAGGAAAGAAATGATAATCAGCATGTGCAGAAAGGAAATTTCACAGATAAATATGTCGGTTTATGTGATAAAGTATCTACAAAGACACTAGTAACCTTTTTGGGACTCAAAATGGTTGAAAGAGAATCACGCTCAGAACAACAACAATGGAATGCAAAGTGAATTTTAGTTTCCTACATCAGTGAAGGTAGGACCAGATAACGCCGATCTGTAGAAGGATCCCCATGGCAGGAGCTGCATGAATTCCACCCTGAATGATGAAGTTCATCACCTAAATATTTCATAGGCAGCCTATGGATAACTTTTGAATATGTAGGAGAGTTTGGGTCAACGTCCACCGTTGCCAGATAATCAGGCTTCTGTATACCAGTTCCTGCATGAAATTGAAATCTTAAAAATGTGTTCTCCCATATGAGTCAAATAATTTAGAATGCTATTCATACAATTTATAAAAGTCGACCCAAAGTTGTTTAACTAATAGTTTATTTAAGTGATATAATGATAAAAGTAGACGACCTAACATTGCATGAACAATTAAAAATAAATAAATCAATCAAAAACCAAACTTGATCCTGTTTTCCCAAGCAAAAGTCCCAACTATAGTCAAGGAAGTCTTTTGATTATCATTCTGGATCCGACCTTTGATTTCCTTTAGTTCTACATTGTCAAATAATTAGATTTTAATCAATTAATTATCCTACAAAGTTATAGCTTCTAGGAAAGAAAAATAAACTTCACTAATCAATTAAATAATTTTATACTACATTCTAAAAAATCATGTTACCACTAATTAGCACTCGAGCATTGAACGTAAAAGTTTTAAAATTGTCAAAAGCATAACCAAGTGAATGCAGGTTTGGTGCATAAAATATGCTCATATCAATGTCATCTACAGCCTAATTCAACTAAAAAATTTCAAGTAATATTTTATTCAACAAACTTCAACTCTCCAAAACAATTTTTTTTTTTTTGATGAATTTAAAAAAAAACTTAAATTTTTAACTAATTACAACTATCTTAATTAAAAAAATGTAATTATCACAAAATATTTATTTCGTTGAAAAAAATTTATCGGTTTTACAAATAAATAAATTAGTAAATCAAATCTTAAATTATAATAAATTAGAATATTATAAAAAGGCCCCTTTGAATTCCCAATACATAAACAAAATAAATAAAACTTGTCAAAGCAATTTTATTGGGTAAAATACGATCCATTGCTCAATAAATCATCCTTTTTTCATGAAAAGAAAACTACTCAGCTTTGATTGAGCCGCACTCTATTGGTTTATTATCTTATCTTTTTCTTTTTTGGGTTTATGCCTTGGTGATTATCTTATCTTGTTTTTTTTTTCTTTAAGGAATGATGATTATCTTATCTTTATATCCTAAAATAACAATAATATTTATATAATACAGAGGTTGACAGGAGGAGCAAATGGTGTAAAGTTCTGGAAGGGAAGACGTGGGAACCCCGTGGGACCCACTGAGAAATTCTCATCGCACAAGTAATATTCATATACACTAAAACAATTTTAAAAAAGAAAAGATGATTGTGAGCACCACAGTCATCGCAATCTGATTCCTAGAGAAGAAACAAAAAAGTGGTGTCCGATCGCAGTCGTCAACACGATAAAATAAATCAACCATCCGAGAAATAGTTTAAATTCCTGAGTTTCGAAAATTGATTCAATGGGATTCCATGTCTTTCTTCTTTTCCCTTCGTTAATCTTTAAGATAAATCGAGAAGAAAAATGTTCAAATTTAACAAATCACAGATCAGGAGGAAGCAGAGATCTAAACAATTAAGAAAGTGTCGACAGGGAGAGGAGATTGATATGACGAGAGAAGAAGAAGCAAAGACAAAATCAATACAGAGATAGCAGATCATAAAAAAAAAAAAAAAAAAAAAGTTAAAAATCACGACGGAAAATGATGAAGAAAATGTAAGAAAAAAATCAGGCGAAAGCAATATACGTAAACAGACATACCAGTGTAGATGCAGGTGACGTAGATGAGAGCTTCTTTTGGTCCAGACATGGCCTCAATCGGGGTGGCGTAACCCGGTCCCTTCTTGCAACATGCGTTTCCATTGCTTACTTCACCATGTTGGAGCACCACTACATCCGTCGCCATCTCTCGATCTCTCTGTGTTCTCCGTCTCTATCGCCTCCTCCGCTGCCGAAAACCCGAAAAAACGCTTGATAGCGAAATACTTGTCGCAGCGAAACTCCCTCTCTCTCTCTGTCACTCTCTCGGGCTCTGTGATTTTATAGACGATATAAGAGCGAGTGTAAGAGAATGGTGGTATTTCTTTTACCGAGCGCTACAGACCAGTCAATGAAAATGTGTCCAGGTTAACTGTACCTGGCTGGTGCGGCAATTAATCCCCGCTTCCATTTTTTTGGTTTTTTAAGGATCACCATAAATAATCCACTCTATTATTTTTTTTTTTTTAAAAAAATTATAATTTAATTTTATTTTCGTATTAACGGGGATATAGTAAATCTATAATTAGTTATGTAACTATCGGACAATCATTCTTAATTTTTTTAATTTTAAACTTATAAATATAACATAATCCGCAATTACATTCTATCATATATAACATACTCAAATTACATATTTTGATTAAGTTCTAAAGATTCATAATTATATAACTCAGTTGGTAGAATTACTGTAGATTAGAATATAATAAACTAAAACTATTATTTGTTTATAAGAATTAAGTAGGGCACTGTTATTTTAATCTAACATAAAAGAAAATCCTAGCCGTCCATTATTTTATCCAACGGATAAGGATTTAGCACGTAGCGCTCTGGCTAACAGGAGATATGGAAATCGCGGCTTGTCGGAGCGCCCACGTTCTTGATGTCGTGTGTCATATTTTTTCGGCACCCCCGCCGTGTAAGACAATATACTTATTATTCTGTACTTAATCTGTCTACATAAAATTTTGTATCTTTATTTTTAAAATTAATTATTTTCATGACGTATTATTTTTTCAATTTTTAGTAGTACCCGATTTGAATTGGTGTCATCATATTTTAAAATTTTTAAAATATAATGTCAATAATTTATGTTGGAAAATTTTGGACTAGTTTATCAGTGGCGTGTGCCCACACGTAAATTCCATTATGAAAAGAAGTGATTTTCATATTACGTGAGGATATTGGTTTCTTAAGGAAGAACACAATCATTGAGCCCAATTCACATATTTATTAGTTAGTTATTTACTTACTTCACCACTAAAATACAGTCCTCAATTATTCATAATCATTATTTAAAAAAAAAAAAAAAAGTATACCATAATATATATATATATATATATATATATTGTAACGACCCTAAAAATATTAAAATGAAATGAGTATTTAAATATATCAAATGCGGAAGCGAGATCAAAATTTCAGTTAACATCCCTTACACGAAAACCAAAAACGTACTTAAAATATAAAAGGTTAAACTAACTAAAAGAGAAACTCGAAAATAAAGCTATGAGTATGACTACAGAGTCTCTAGGCATCCCTTTCGTCGTTCTCCTGCGGAACGGGCTCGGGAACCATGTCTTCCTGATCTGAAATGGTTAAATAAGGAGTGAGCTACACTAGCCCAGTAAGAACATCACGATATCTCACCGTCACGGAGGTAAAGGTGGGTAGAAAACACAAAGGACCCATGGAGCATGTTTTACAACAAATCCTTTTATTTATGATAAAACCTTTACCATCCACTTACCTCGGTGGAATTTATGAAAACAATATAAGAAAAACAATAACATTATCATAATCATGGAATAATATAAGCTGTAAAACATAACACTTATCACGCCTCTTGTAATTCAATCATTATACAACATATCTTTTTCTCATTTACCAGCCTACTAGTATCCGTGGGGGTCCATAGGGGTCCCGCTACCCGTTAACCTTTAACATTCATAATCAGTTTCCAGGGCCGTCCCCATACCCCGTCCGGTATGGGCGCCAAAACCATAAACCTCAATACCCCGTCCGGTATGAGGGTGAAACGGGCCGTCCCCATACCCCGTCCGGTATGGGCGCCAAAACCATAAGATCTCCATACCCCGTCCGGCATGTGAGACCACAATCCCGGTAGGGTTCCCTACGGACCCGGTCCGTCCACCATCTCCCAGGATATCTAGTCAGGCTGACCCCCATAATACAATTATCAGTCTACACAATCTTTCATTTTCCTTTCCCTCAGTCAGCATCATCAATTCACATTTAAACAAGCAAATCGTAATTCATGCCAAACAGACAACATACAGTATCAGTTTTTCAGTCATTCAACCCATAGTTAATAAAAACGTAGTATATGCACACAAATCTGTAAAATGAACACATCAAACCTCATTTTGCATTTAAAGCTGTAAACAGGCCAAATAACAGTAAATCACCAATCACACTAGACTCGGGCTCCATTAGCCACCTTAAGCAATTTCACACATTCGTTAATTCAAGAAATACCGTTTTATCATTTTGAACTTTAATACCGTGATAGGAAATAGGGTGAGGAGTCCTTACTTGTTTTCGGGATTCGAATACGATTCACAGTGCGCCTACAGGCTGTTCCTAATTTTCCCTGAATTTTTCCCGGGGAACTGAAACGCACTAACGGTACCTGTACGTGTTCTAAAAAATCTCAAATTAGGCTCAGGGCCCCTTTTTGGCCAATATCGCAACTCCGGCACGGCGGCTCCGCCGTGCTCCGGCGATGGCGCCGCCGCTTGCGGCGGCGATTCGCCTCGGGTTGGCTGTTTTCGGCCGTTTCCGGCCGAATTCGGCCACACTCGCATCGGTCCCTGCGAGAAAACAACCCTAGGGCCCTCGGGGGGCCAAAAAATCACGGAAAAACGGAGCTTACCGGCGGCGGCGCTCTCGAGTGCGACGGCTCTCCGGCGAGGTTCGTGTTTTGGTGATTCGGCTCCGGTCAACCTGTAGAGAAAAGAATGGTGATCACGGTGATATAAAAATTGCATCAAACGGAGGCCGGGAAGGGCTTCGTCGGAGGCAAAAACCGAGAAGGGGCGCGGCGGCGCCGCTGGTCTTTGGCCGGGATTTTGGCTCTGATTTGGCCACAGGAGGAATCAGCGTGGAAAAACGAGTCGGGGGTATGAAATTTACCTCGATCGGCGGTCGGAAATTTCCCCGGCGCGGCGGCGGGTGGCGGCGGCCGGCTTCTGGTTTGTCTTCTCCGGCGAGCGGCAGGCGGCTAGGGTTTGTGGTCTGGTGTGGGGGTTCTATTTATAACCCCTTGCCTTTTGATCTCACCCGTCCATTTTGTTTTAATCTGGGCCGTTCGTTTTTGATTAAATCTGGGCCGTCCGATCGCGCCCACGCGGATCGCCAACGTG